CCCCTTCTTCCTGTTTTTCAAGCGGGGGTATAATAAGTCACGTTTACAATGAACAAAACATCGAAGAGTGAATTTATAATAGTGTTTAAAATGGGTATTCGGAACTGGTAAAATAAGAACACGAAAATATTTCGATTAGTGTTGGTAAATCGGACGATTTTTTGTAACCGGTTACTCGCTTCATCTTCCGATCGAGTACCCGGTTACTCGGATGATTTTTGGTAAAAGTATCAATATCTATAATATTTATCTCATTCTTTACTTATCGGTAGTAGTGATGCACAAATATACTGTATATGGACATTATATTAATAATACACACATACGATATCGTCAAAGATTTATGATTTAAAAATAAAGAAAATGAATAGGGAGACAAATAAATATGTCATTGGCAATCACCATTTTACCCTTTCTTTTTCAGCCCCTGAAACATGTTGCAATCAAGGAGAATAATTATTTTCATACTTCATAATTAATAGTTATTATGTGGAGTGTCCAGTAAATTGCTGGTTTCCGAAGAATTTGTGTTAAGCATAGGTGATTAAGCAGATTTTGAATCAGCTGTTCTTTTGTTACAACTTCAAGCTAATTATGTCTGCGGCGGCATCTCGTTAAATTATCAAATGAGGTAATTATAATTCAGGCCTTCAAAATATGTATACCCTAAGCAATCAAAACTATCAATTAAATAAACTGTGAAAACTAATCAAAACAATTTGATTCACTACAATCATGCAGTAGATCAAAACTAACGGTACCTAGAATTAGTGAAATGTGTAAGTTAGTATACATTTTCAGATTATAATGCATTCATTTTCTATGCCTTAACTATGTAGAATTAAATTTATCCGAGTAACCGAATAGCAGTTTTACTAACCGATACTCGCAACGTTCGACGGTTAACCGGTTAACCGGGTACTCGTTGCCAACACTAATTTCGATATCTTCCAGTGTTCTAAATATTTATTTTTGACAAATTTTTAGTATATATTAGAGTACATATCAAACTTACTTTTGATACCTGGAACGTTGTTTTATGTAAAAAATTTATGCATCTACAGAGGTTTTTCTGCAGACTTACGCGTCGCGGTGATTCAGATTTGTTGCATTGTAAAAGTATGTCGACTGTTTCAAGTACGATAACGAAACCAAACTGAGGGCAAAAAATCAAAACTTCACATAATTCAAGCACTCATAGATAATCCTTCTTACCTTAGAAATAAATTTATTTTTACACCGTTGAATTTATTAATTATCAGTCCTTAAATTATTAATTATTCGGAACTGGGCAAAATCCGGAACTGGCCAAACGACTGTATTAGTCTACCCTTTGACCCACTTACTACCGTTATGTAGAGGATCTGTTAATTTTGAAGATAACTCTTTACAAACGGTTTTATAGTAATTTTAACATTTATTGCTGATTTATTAACTAATAATGTGATCAGCTAATTGCAGAGAAATCAGGATTAAAATTAATAGACATCGTTTTTGTTATTTCCGATGCAATGTAATTAGGTATGTTGTTGCATCACCCGTATATATAACCCAAGATGAATTAATTTGTTTCAAGTTATTACTCACTACAGGGTTAATTCACACAGTGCAAATATTTTTAGATTAGTTTACTATCATTCTTTTGCCATTGACATTAATTTACACGGTCGTGTACTCAGAAGACAGAGCAACTTCAACTTCTCTTTCTGAGGAAATTCTGGCATAGTTACCGATCACAAACACATCTATTAGTTTAATATTCTCTGTGTGATCTGGGAATTTTCTCTCTGACAAGGGGGAATTTTTGCACCTATTCACAAAATTAAAGACATTGCACACTCCCTTCTTCAAAGGAGGATAAAAATAAAAGGCATAAAAATAAACCCCTCCCCATTGTGCCCCAACCCTACCCCCAGGGATCATGATTTGAACAGACTTGAATCTTACCTACCTGGGAATACTTCACAATAGTTACAGCTTTTCTGGCCAAATGTGTTCAGAACAAGAGGCCCATGGGCCACATCGCTTACCTGAGGAACAATAGGTATGATAAAATCAGCTTAATGGAGTCATAATACAAACTATCTGGACAATGTACAATAATACATATAGATCCTGTATAAATAAAGTCCATTATTCCCCCTGGATATTCTTATGTTTATAATCATTAGTTCCTTTTCTACATGTAACAGGATGATTTTATAGTCATATCACATGTTGAGTAATGCAGTTCTCAAAAAGATCCTTAACAATTGTTTATATATGGGATATAAACCTACATCAAACTCTGAACCTTCTTGTGAGGCCGAAGAATTGTCCTGGGGCCAAAGTCTTAACAATTATAAAGAATCATTTGGCTGATTAGTTTCTGATAAGAAGATTTTTAAAGATTTACTCTACATATTCCCATGTTAAACTTTGACCCCCCCCATTGTGGCCCCAACTTACCCCAAGGGTCATGATTTTCACAACTTTGAATCAACACTACCTGAGGATGCTTCCACACAAATTTCAGCTTTTCTACCTCCTCAGTTTCTGATAAGAAGATTTTTAAAGATTTACTCTATAGATTCCTATGTTAAACTTCTAGCCCCCCACCCCCCATTGTAGCCCCAACCTACCCCCAGGGGTCATGATTTTCACAACTTTGAATCTACACTACCTGAGGATGCTTCCACACAAATTTCAGCTTTTCTACCTCATGAGTTTCTGATAAGAAGGTTTTTAAAGATTTACTCTATATATTCCTATGTAAAACATCTACCCTCCATTGTGGCCCCAACCTATCTGCTGGGGATCATGATTTTCACAACTTCAATTGTACACTACCTGATGATGCTTCCACACAAGTTTCAGCTTTCCTGGGTGATTTATTTTCGAGAAGAAGATTTTTAAAGATTTACTCTATATATTCCATTTGCTAAGCTTCGATCCCCCCCCCCCCATTGTGACCTTACCCTGCAATGAATATTAAAAATATATTATAAAACCTAAATCTACACTCCTGAGGATGCTACTTAACAAATTTCAGCTTTCTTGGCTGTTTAGTTTCTAAAAAGATGATTCTTAAAGATTTACTCTTTATATTCCTATATGTAAAACTTCGATCCCCCACTCCCCATTGTGGCCCAACCTACCCCCCGGGGGGCAGGATTTTCACAACTTTGAATCAACACTACCTGAGGATGCTCCCACACAAGTTTCAGCTTTCCTGGCTGATTAGTTTCTGAGAAGATTTTTAAAGATTTACTCTACATATTCCCATGTTAAACTTTGACCCCCCCCAATTGTGGCCCCAACTTACCCCAAGGGTCATGATTTTCACAACTTTGAATCAACACTACCTGAGGATGCTTCCACACAAATTTCAGCTTTTCTACCTCCTCAGTTTCTGATAAGAAGATTTTTAAAGATTTACTCTATATATTCCTATGTTAAACTACTACCCCCCATTGTGGCCCCAACCTACCCCCAGGGGTCATGATTTTCACAACTTTGAATCTACACTACCTGAGGAAGCTTCCACACAATTTTCAGCTTTTCTACCTCATGAGTTTCTGATAAGAAGGTTTTTAAAGATTTACTCTATATATTCCTATGTAAAACATCGACCCTGCATTGTGGCCCCACCCTATCTGCTGGGGATCATGATTTTCACAACTTCAATTGTACACTACCTGATGACGCTTCCACACAAGTTTCAGCTTTCCTGGCTGATTAATTTTGGAGAAGAAGATTTTTAAAGATTTACTCTATATATTCCCTTTGCTAAGCTTCGCCCCCCCCCCCCCCCCCCCCCCCCCCCCTTGTGACCTTACCCTGCAATGAATATTAAAAATATATTATAAAACCGTTTGTCTACAGTTATCTTCAAAATTAATTAAGGTGGTATGGGATATCTGTCGATACTAAAGTGGATTAAAGAACATTATAATTTAAATACTTTTCTACAATATTTAACCAAACAATAGGTTTTTGAAAAATTTGGAGAGACAAAAATTGTTAAACTCCCAGTGGGATTCGTACTCATGACTTACAGATATGTAGAAAGCCCTCTCACCCACTGCACTACGCTGTTAGATAACAATATTGGAGAAATTACTTATATAATTACACTTGGTTTTATTGTTTATTTCGATAAACAATATGTCACAACATGAAAGTGTCCCATACCACCTTAAACAGATCCTCTACATAACGAGAGTAAGTGGGTCAATACACAATAGTACAGAGACTGATTTTATATTAAACATTGTTATTAAGCTAACACAATAAAGATATATTTACCTATAAAAGGTATAAATACATAACAGATTAAATTTTACTACTAAGACAAGCTTTTTTAAACTAAAAAAAAATGAATTCTTTCTTTGCCTGTTGTTGACTATAAATAGAACCTTTTGGAAAATTTTAAATCTTCATTACTGATCTTATATCACACAATTTGATTATACTTATTTCTCTCATTATTACACACATGTTCCAAGATTTAAAAATAAAAACTTTTTTCCTACCTACTTACCCCAAAAAATTTTTTTGGTCAGCAGGGGCGTAGCAATCGGGGGGGGGGGGGGGGGGGGGGGGGGGGGCTGGCCCCCCCTTCTTTTTTTCCTAACCTTACTTATACTATAGGAAATGTTAATTGAAAGCTTGGTTGCCCCCCCCCCACTTTTAGTGATGTACTGATAATGTAGTATTAGAATTGGTCCTAAAAGTAGTTGACACTGAGAAAAAGTTTACCCCCCCCCCCCCCCCCCCCCCCCCCCCGAAATAGGATTTTCGACTTTGGGCAACTTTTCCCTTTTTTTTTTTTTTTTTTTTTTTTTTTTGCTTGTCAACTTTTTCAGGTAAGTAAAAAATTTTTTTTCTCTTCCTGGCCCCCCCACTTTCAAAAACGATGCTACGCCACTGGTCAGGGGACATGAAACAGGGATATATTTTTTTTGGCCATGGCAAAATGTTTTGGATTTCAAATACATAAAGATAAAAATCAATCCTACCTCACAAACTGCAACAACTAAGGGATGCTGAGTTCCTTGTTTGACTTCTTTAAATGGAGAAAACATTGTGTAAGGGAAAATAATATCAGCTGAACCACTTATCTCTAGTTTCATAATCCTTTTTGTTTCTATTTCCAGACATGGTACACTACTGAAATTTAAACCAAACAGTAAATCAAAAAGGTGCAATGCATAATATTTTGTTTTAAATCATTTCTTAAAGGAACATCCTGTGTGAGATCAGTTCGTCCAGTGTGAAACAGCAGTGTGAGGTTATTTTGTCTTACACTGTGTATTACCATGCCGCTATGAAACATAAATTGACATCCATTTGAAAAACTTTGCACCAGTCATTAAGGTCTTCTGTTTCCAACGGAAGACCTTGCTATTATTGTTTTTCTATCTAGACGCAAACTTCGAGCTTTATATCGTGCTCATTTCTGAATGGTTTTTGCTCAAATTTTCAGGGCTAATAGACTTAAACACTACCATAATCAATTAAAAAATTTTAGAATTCCTCTTCATTTAACGAGTTATTCCCCTTTGAAAATTTTTTAAGGCCTTTGGTTTCCAGACAAAACCTCCGAGGCTATGATAGCAGGGAATGAGAATCCAACGAATTTGAATAACAGAGACATTGTAGTGTGTGCACATTGGTTTCTGTTTTGGGATTACGTTTTTTATTTAGAAAAAGGTAGTGCTCAATAACTCAAAAACGGTTAGGATTTCGATATGGCTGTCGCTATAAAGGTTGTTTATTGGGATCTCATAAAGATCGTTACAATGTTATTTTGTTCGTGATTTGTGTAGTATGAGTGTGAAAAGCTTTACATGTTAACATGTACCTGTTTTCATTTGGCAAGTTAACAAAGTCTTTGTGCATACAACAAGCATAAAGTTACCACAGAAAGTATGCTGGTTTATACAGGAGGCTTTAATTCATAAGAAAATTTTGAATTTTTTTTTTTTAAATACATGCTTTTTTTGGGGGGAGTTTAAGTCATTCTTTTTAGTTTTTAGTTCTTATAGTGCATCCCCGTGGGGATCCGGGTTAGAATAGGTCCTCAGTACCCCTTGCTTGTCGTAAAAGGCGACTAAATGGGGCGGTCCTTCGGATGAGACCGTATAAACCGAGGCCCCGTGTCACAGCAGGTGTCGCACGATAAAGATCCCTCCCTGCTCAAAGGCCCTGAGTGCCGAGCATAGGCCTAAATTTGCAGCCCTTCACCGGCAATGGTGACGTCTCCATATCAGTGAAATATTCTGGAGAGGGACGTTAAACAGCTATACAATCAATCAATCAATCTTATAGTGCACAATCCCCAAAAAAGAGATTCTGAAAACAAAACATTCTTTTTCTTTTCTAGTAAAACACAAAATACGGATCTTAAAAAAAATCTATGTATGGCCCCATAAAATTAATTTTTAGATTCTCATCCCCAATGTCCCTAAGAAAATTGGCCGCCCCGATGCTTATTTTGAAAAAAAAAAATTGTGTAGAAAAAAATTTTCGGGAAAAAAAATTGGGCTCGGTATACAAAAAATTCCAAAACATTTTATGGCTGCCTACACATGTGAATTCAACTCATGTTTCTTACAAGTTTAGCTTTCAAAACAAGAGGCCCATGGGCCACATCGCTCACCTGAGGAACAATAGGTATGATAAAATCAGCTTAATGGAGTCATAATACAAAATATCTGGACAATGTACAACAATACATGTAGATCATGTATAAGGCCTAAAAAAAAAATAAGTTTGTTTCCTGTAACATTCCCAAAAAATCAAGGGTCGGTAGGTCGGAAATTCTTTTTTTTTTTTTTTTTTTTTTTTTTTTTTGCTTACGAATGGTCAAACATCCCCGGACCGAAAATACCAGGTGTTATATTTACAGTGGACACCTAATATGGCATCCAAAATGGCTGCCAAGCGGCTGAAAACAAACTTCAGAGAGTTGTAGGGGGGAACTGTTGTTACAATAATGATTACTCTTTATATTTAAGGTAAATAAACACTAAGTTGACATATTTTATGTCTCAAATTAAGCTACAAGCTATTTTTTAAATTTAATAAATGGAATCAGCTGATTGATCAAACAAAGTTCTGCCATTTGTGAGAAAAAAAAATCCACCCGGGGATAATTTGAATGGGTCGGTCGGGTTACAGGAAACAAACATATTTTTTTTTTAGGCCTAAATAAAATCCATTTTTCCCCTGGATATTCTTATCTTTATAATCATTAGTCCCTTTTCTAACAGGATGATTTTATAGTCATATCATATGTTGAGTACTGCAATTCTCAAAAAGATCCTTAACATTAGTTTGTATATGGGATATAAACGTACATAAAACTCTGAACCTTCTCGTGAGGCCAAAGAATTGTCCTGGGGCCAAAGTCTTAACAATTATAAAGAATCATCTGGCTGATTAGTTTCTGAGAAGAAGATTTTTAAAGATTTACCCTATATATATTCCTTTGTTAAACTTTGACCCCCCATTGTGGCCCCACCCTACCCCCACGGGTCATGATTTTCACAACTTTGAATCTACACTACCTGAGGATGCTGCCACACCAGGGGATGACAAATCCCATTGCCCGACGCCCGGGGCTAGTGATTTTTAGGGTTGGGCAAGTGAAATTTTATCAACCACTTGCCCGTGGGCAAGTGACTTAATCAATTATCAAAAATAAAATCAATATTTATTCCAATATTCTACTCAGTATTTTTTATATATATTTATAAATACAGTATAAGTTAATGTTAGGGCAGGCAAAAATTCAGGTAGGGCAAGTGAATTTTGACCATGTACTTGCCCTTGGGCAAGTGCCTTAAAAGTCTATTTGTCAGCCCATGCACACAAGTGTCAGCTTTCCTGGCTGATCAGTTTCTGAGAAGAAGATTTTTAAAGTTTACTCTATATATTCATATGTTAAACTTCGACCCCCCATTGAGGCCCCACCCTACCCCCGGGGGTCATGATTTTCACAACTTTGAATTTACACTACCTGAGGATGCTTCCAGACAAGTTTCAGCTTTGCCGGCTGATTAGTTTCTGAGAAGAAGATTTTTAAAGATTAACTCTATATATTCCTATGTTAAAATTCGACACCCCATTGTGGCCCCACCCTACCCCCGGGGGTCATGATTTTCACAACTTTGAATCTACACTACCTGAGGATGCTGCCACACAAGTTTCAGCTTACCTGGCTGATTAGTTTCTGAGAAGAAGATTTTTAAAGATTTACTCTATATATTCATATGTTAAACTTCTACCCCCCATTGAGGCCCCACCCTACCCCCGGGGTCATGATTTTCACAACTTTGAATCTACACTACCTGAGGATGCTTCCAGACAAGTTTCAGCTTTGCCGGCTGATTAGTTTCTGAGAAGAAGATTTTTAAAGATTAACTCTATATATTCCTATGTTAAAATTCGACACCCCATTGTGGCCCCACACTACCCCCGGGGGTCATGATTTTCACAACTTTGAATCTACACTACCTGAGGATGCTGCCACACAAGTTTCAGCTTACCTGGCTGATTAGTTTCTGATAAGAAGATTTTTAAAGATTTACTCTATATATTCATATGTTAAACTTCGACCCCCCATTGAGGCCCCACCCTACCCCGGGGGTCATGATTTTCACAACTTTGAATTTACACTACCTGAGGATGCTTCCAGACAAGTTTCAGCTTTGCCGGCTGATTAGTTTCTGAGAAGAAGATTTTTAAAGATTAACTCTATATATTCCTATGTTAAAATTCGACACCCCATTGTGGCCCCACACTACCCCCGGGGGTCATGATTTTCACAACTTTGAATCTACACTACCTGAGGATGCTGCCACACAAGTTTCAGCTTCCCTGGCTGATTAGTTTCTGAGAAGAAGATTTTTAAAGATTTACTCTATATATTCATATGTTAAACTTAGACCCCCCATTGAGGCCCCACCCTACCCCCGGGGTCATGATTTTCACAACTTTGAATCTACACTTCCTGAAGATGCTTTCACACAAGTTTCAGCTTTCCTGGCTGATTAGTTTCTGATAAGAAGAATTTTAAAGATTTACTCTATATATTTCTATGTAAAACTTTGATCCCCCATTGTGGCCCCACCCTACCCCCGGGGGTCATGATTTTCACAACTTTGAATCTACACTACCTGAGGATGCTTCCATACAAATTTCAGCTTTCCTGGCCAATTAGTTTCTGAGAAGAAGATTTTTAAAGATTTACTCTATATATTCATATGTTAAACTTCGACCCCCCATTGTAGCCCCATCCTACCCCGGGGGGTCATGATTTTCACAATTTTGTATCTACACTACCTGAGGATGCTTCCACACAGTTTCAGTTTTCCTGGTCTTATGGTTCATGAGAAAAAGATTTTCTTTAAAATTTTCATAAATTCCTAATTATCTCCCTTTGCAAAAGGGCGTGGTGCTTAATTTTCACAAGTTTGAATCCCCTTGGGCTAAGGATGCTTTGTGCCAAGTTTGGTTGAAATTGGCCCAGTGGTTCTTGAGAAGATGTTGAAAATGTGAAAAGTTTACAACGGACAGACAGACGGACGGCAGACAAAATGTGATCAGAATAGCTCACTTGAGCTTTCAGCTCAGGTGAGCTAAAAAAGCTTACTGTCCTTAGAGCAAACCTAAACATTAATTAGTTAAATTCATTTTTTTATATAAATGTCACCTTCTTCTTCATAGCATAGCGAGTGGAACACACGTCATTATGTGTCTTGTAAGCCTGCGTGTCTAAAATTGAAAAATGAGCACCCAAGCTCATAAGTTGAGATCGACTATATTAGGGTAAAAGAGATCGTAGACTCGTATTATTTTGATAAAATCAAAGTTTTACCACTGCATTCAGCATCTTGTTTAGCGTATATTAGTTTTACCTATCTCAGTGTAAATAACTTTACCGGTATTAGCCATACCGCATCATTTCTTTGCTTTTTTTTTTTACATTTTTGTATTAATATTTGAATAAACAATACCTAAAGAAAAACATATTATTTCAATAGATGTTATAGAATATTACTTTCAACTAGTTGGACCTGAAAATCAAAAGCTGAATTTCATTCATAGCAATTTGTACTGCTTTTTCGTTTTCTCACTTTTTAAGATTTGAAATCTACGAAATT